CTAACTTGCATTCATTATTTATCTTCCTTAGTTTTATTTTTGATAAATATTTTCTGCATTTATTCCCACCTTCCTTCCTGGATTTTTCGCTTCTCTTTTTTTCTTCTTCTTCTTCTTCTTCTTCTTCTTCTTCTTCTTCTTCTTCTTCTTCTTTCTCTCCTTTCTTTTGTCTCTTTCACTCTTTCTTCCTCTTATTTCTATTTCTTTCCTTTTCTGTCTCTCCTTTAAATCTTCAATATTTAGCTTTCCTCTATTTCACGCAGGCTCTCATTTTTCTCTCTCAACCCCTCTCTCTCTCTCTCTCTCTCTCTCTCTCTCTCTCTATCTATCTATCTATCTATCTATCTATCTATCTATCTATCTACATCCTCACACTGTCTAAGTTCCCTTCTTTCTTCTCTCGTTTCACAATTCTCTCTTTCAAGTATACTCTATTTTCCTCTGTTACTCTTTCATACATAGTTTTTCCTTCTCTTTACCTCATATTTTTCCGGGTACTATTTCCCTCCTCTATCACTCTTTCTCTTATTTACTCTCTCTCTCCCTCTCTCTCTCTCTCTCTCTTCTTTCTCTTTCTCTCAGCGTCTTATTCGTTCCTTCATCACGTACATTGTCTATCTCAGTCTTTTTCTACTATCTATCTATCTATCTATCTATCTATCTATCTATCTATCTATCTATCTATCTATTTCAGTCGGTTAATATCTATATCTTTATCTATCTACTCTCTCTCTCTTTCTCTCTTTCTCTCTTACTCTCTCTGCATCGTACTCTTTCCCTCATCACGTTCCTTGTCTATCTAAATCTATCACCCCGAGCGTTCTACTGTTTCCCATATACTGTCTTTCCCGTTATCTCACTACGTCTCACTCTTTCACACACACACACAATTTCATTTTTCTCTCTGTCCCACCCCCACACTTTTATTTTCTTTTATTTCACTTTTCTTTCTCGTCTACCTTTTGCTTCCTCGTTTCCCCTCATTTTCTCTCTCTCTCTCTCTCTCTCTCTCTCTCTCTCTCTCTTTCACCTTTCTCTTTTACCTTCTCGTCTTTCGTTTTTACTTTTTAGCTTCGTCATATTTCTTTTTCTGTGCACCCCACTCTCTCTCTCTCTCTCTGCTTCTCATCATTCCCATTTAGTCTCTCTTACTACTCTCTCTTTCTTTATCATCTTTCATTCCCCCCCTCTCTCTCGCTCTCTCTTACACACACACGCGCGCTCACACACACACATTTTACCCTCTCTCATCTTACTTTCACTATATTTCTGATGGTTTACTTCCCCCTCCCCACTATCATCGCCGCTCTCTCCTGTTATTCTTCCCCTCCTCCTCTCCCTCACTCGTCCTCTCTATATCTATATATCGATATCTATCTATGAATCTATTATCTATTACACACGCACACACGCACTTTCTCTCTTCTCTCTCTCCCAGTTCTACACCGCTTTCGTTTTTTTCCGATTTTTCCTTCTCTCCATCTCTTTTCTTTTCTCTCTCTCTCTCTCTCTCTCTCTCACACACGCTTTCTAATCTTCTTCTTTCTCTCTCTCCCTCTCTCTCTCTCTTCTTTCTTTACCCTACGCTTCTTTCTTTTGTCTTCTAATCCTACTGTTTTCTTTTTCCTCTCTATTACATCTCACACGCTTTCTCACTCTTTTTCTATTTTCCTTCTCATATTTGTGTTCAGTCTCTCTCACTCTCTCTTATCTTCCCACTCTCTCACATCTTCTTCTCACTCCCTTTCTTTTTTTCCTATCTCCCTTTTAGTTTTCTCTCCTGCGTTTACCTCCTTCTCTTCTCTTCTCTTCGCCAGTCTCACCTTTCTTTCTTCTCGTCTCTATCTTCTCTTTATTTTCATCTACTTCTATTTTCCCTTCTCTATCTTCTCTCTCACTTTTTATCCTTTTCACTGTCTTTCTTTCTTTCCTTCTATCTTGCTTTCTTTCTTTCTTTCTTGCCGTCTTTCTTTCTTGCTTTCATTATTTCCCTCTCTTTTTTCCTCCTAAATTGTGTTGTCAGTTTCCTTGTGTTGAAAACTCGGTGGTAGGCGTGGCGCCAGGTGCCCCGATGACGTCAATGTAAACTGACATCGGTTGCCATGACGCCGAGTAACCGACCAATCGTTGGCCGCTTTGCGCCTGTCAATCATGGGCAAGCGCGGCTGTGAGGGCCCACCCCCAATTAGTCCATAGTGGAGAGCAAGCGGTCTCAGCGACCCCACGTGTGTGCAAAACTGTCTGTGGCCAAGTAGGTAGTTATTAGCAGTAGTGAAGTTAGAAATATGAAGATGGACCCCCAAACCCAGCAGACGAACGCTACTGACGAGATTCCTAACGATCCGGGGTACGTATTTTATTATTGCCCCCTCCCTTGTATTATTTTTTTTATTTTTAAGGGTCTCTGTATGATTTTATATCAAGTTTTTTTTTTATTATTTTAAACTTGAGTGTACCTTCCTTGTCCACTGTCTTGTAAATGTATTGTGACGAACAAGTGATTCTTATTGAGAAAGCATAGCAGACGTTATGTATATATGTATGTTTATTTCTAGGTATATATATCTGTGATTTAAAATATACCGCTTATAACATAGATACGTTAAGTCTTCGTTTCATAGACGAAACACCATTATTATTCTTCAGAAGAAACCTCTATCCTTTTTTTTAAAAAAAAAAAAAAAAAGATTCTTTGCTTCGGGAAGTAATTATTTTACTACTGTTTTAATTAAATAACCCCCCCCCCGCTCTAAAACGGACAAAAAAATATTCCAACCCATTCATTAATTTATTACACGTTCTCGAAGCTGTAACAGTGTCTAAAAAAAGATATGTCAACATCAGTGCGTTGTTTTTCTTCTTTCTAAGCATCGTACACTGTCACTTCGAACAAGTGAAACCGTACGTTTATTTATCTAGTATCTATCTATATAATCTGCCTACCTTCGTTCATCGACTTTCCAAGCTTTCTTTCTTATCTATTCGTATTTTAATGTAGTGCAAGCGAGAGAGGGAGAAAAACCATCTCTTTTTGGTTGGTACGTGCGTGTGTGTGTGGGTCTTCCTCCGTCTTCTTTCTTTCCATGGCTTTTTGTTCTGTCTCTTCCTGGCGTTGATTCTATTTATTTACCGTGAATGTTTTCAAATATTCCAATGTTGCTTGTCGATTATTCTGCCCCCCACTTCTCCCATAGAGAAAAAAAAAAAAAGAAACCACGAAAAAAAAAAAAATAAATAAATAAATAGGTTGATTTTGTTATTGTTGTTATTGTTTATTTTGTCTCTAAAATTATAACTTGCTTAGAATATAATCCCAATTGATTAATTTTTTTTTTTTTTTTTTTTTTAAGACTGATGCTTTAAATTTAAACCCACAATTTTTTTTTTTTTTTTTTTTTTTTTTTTTTAAATGACGTTTAATCTGACAATTTCGATTAGCTAAAAGAATAAAAATTATAATGATTTTTGTCAAGGGTTTCGTTCTAGCTATATATAACTCCCCCGCAAAATAATATGCTTAATCATTTTTTTTTTTTTTCTTTTTGGAGATAACGATTTTTGTTAACTAAGAAAGTAAATAGCCACTGTCGACTTGATAAAATCGTATACTTTTATAATATACGCATTATTTATTTAATAAATAATTCTGGCCGTATTGCTAATGTATTGTCATGTGTAGATCTTTTCTTTAGATAAAAATGCGTTTATTTTTGTGTTTTCATTTTCTTTTCTTTAAGATCCCATGTAGGTCACTCTGTTTTTACACTGTATCTTCGTGTGTACTTACTTTTTAACTATCCTCGTTTTATATACGAATCTTTCTATTCGTGTACAGTATATATCGCTTGTCTAAAAAAATATTAAACTTTTTTTTTTTTTTTTTTTTAATGATTACATCTTGAAACCTCAGGAAACTGATATTATCAATATTGTTTGCATTATTGATCATTTTCTTAGCTTTATCATTCTACTTGTCAATATTTAATCGGGTTGTAGACGAATAAAATGATTTTTTAACAAATATATTTAAAATATAAATAAATATTTGTCTGTTTTTTTTTGTTTTTTGTTTTTTTTTTTTAACGATCTAACTTTTTCTTTCTTGTCTTTTTCCCCCCTTTTCTCTTTAAAAATTGACTACCTTTACCAAAAACCAGGAAAATGTTTATAGGAGGTCTGAGTTGGCAAACGACAGCAGGTACGTCTTTTTAATATATTTCACTTGAATATTGTTTTTTTTTCTTCTTCTCATTCTTTCTCTCTTTCCACCGTGAGGCGCCTGATTCCCCAGCACACCACAAAAAAAAAAAAAAAATTGAAATCACATATTTTATTTATCTTTTATTTCTTTAAAAACCTTCTCCAAATTCAATTTGCCTTTCTCGCTCTATCATTTTTTATAGACAGAAACATGCACACACTTCTTGTCTATAGATTAGATGGGTATATGAACTAAAAAGAGGGTTGTATTCATATTCATAACATTGTAGTTTAGCTTGGCCTTTTTAGTCATGTTTTTTTCTGTTTAAATTCTCCAAACATGCATCCTAGCACCCAGTCCAGTCTTTTCTAGTTACCCACCTTTTAACTATTATTCGTAATTCAAATCTATTCGCTTCTACGCCTATAAAAACTAGGAAAAAAAACAATATTCATTCAGCGCTGATGACTTGACGTCAGTCTAAATCAGTGACATTGATTAATTTTGAGGATTATTCCCAAGCAAACGTTCTGATGTCCTTAAACAGTCAAATTTAGAGGTGATCCGTTTCACTACTACTACAACTACTACTAACAACAACTGCTTAATGTATCCTCTCCCTATATAAACCTGATCGATATGACTTTTAGTTAAATACTAACACTAGTCCTGATCTAATATTGGTAGGTGGATATAGGTAGACTTCTTTCTTTCTTTTTAGAGAGACGAATGAAAACAAAGGACTTTTTATTTTCTTTCTCTCTGAAACCGCGTATGCCACTAGCAGTCTTCCTATCTTCATCTTTCGAGTACTTAAATTTATTTCATACCTACTTGCCACTGTCTGGTTGATAGTAAAAAGACTCTTGGGGAGAAAGAGACTGCTTCTCTTCCCTGGTCTGTGGGAAGGTCTTCTATCCTTCCTAACTAAGGTCAAATAAAACATTGTACACTTTTCCGAGCTTAACAACTGTTGTTATTATCATTATTAGTACATAAGTCATTATTATTACTATTATAATATAACAGTACATAAAAAGTACATCTTTTATTATTGACATTTAAAAGTTTCAATTAAAACTTGGTAACTCGACTAAAAAGCGTTACTGCATTTTTCTTAAAACAAAAGTGGTTGTTTTTTGTTTTTTTCCTTCGCTGATGTGAAAAATAAATTTTCAGTATCAGATAATTCTTTTCTTCATAAGAAATGAAGAGAAAACACACACACAATTTTAAATTCTGAATTCATTAGTGAACATAAAAGTATCATTAACGAATCCTATATGAGAAGAAAAAAGAAAAACATTTGAATGGGATGTTGGCATGTTCTCCGTTTGACTAAAGATGCTTTTAGTTTTCACTTTTAAAATTGTAACGCTTGGTCAAATTCTGGGAAGTGGGTCGGGCCGAGAATTTTTCAGCATCTTTCGTAGATTTCTAGATAGATATAGATAATTTCTACTGTCCTAGTAGCATTAATAGTTGTAGTCACTCTCACTACGGCCTTTTTCTTTTTCTTCTCCGGGCACCTACAACCCGAAGACTACAGAAGCCACTATATACTTACGCTTCCGTAAAATAGTTATTCGATATATTTTGAATTTTGATGGGTTTTTCTTTTTCGTTTTTTTTTTTATTTCGAAACTGCCCGAAGTTATATATCTTGATTACAATCTTTGTAGACTCTGTCTTACCGATTATATAATAATCGTTTTCTTTTCTTTTTTTTAAATCGCTACTTAAACGAAAAGCGGGAACTCTTCTTTGTTCTTAAAAAAAAAAAAACCATGATGAATGATCATACACACTGTATTAAAAAAAACAAAATAACGCCATACACAAGTAAAAATATACATTTAAAAAAACATCGTCTGTCTTTTATTAATTTACAGAGTAAATTATATTACTTTCTAACCACTGTGCAATAAGTAAATTATTTGCTTCCCCAAAAAAAACTAACATCAACGATCTTGAATTATTACAGAACCTAAAAGAAATGACTTTGCTTTACTGAAAAAAAAAATAGCCGGACTTCAATAATAATAATGACACACCAAGAAAAAGGATTTTTCCTACAGGGTGGTTCTAAAATGGGGGACCGCTTCTTGACGCTACTCGGTGTCGTTTCGAAACAATAGTTCATGCTTTTAAATCACTTTCTTAGCAAGGTCCCAAAAGGTGTAACAACCACATCGTCTCATTCACCCTGGGATCACTATCATGGCCCCGCTTGTCAAGCAGTGGAGTTCCTTTTTTACTTCAGCGATTCACAATTCTATGGCGATTAAAGAAAGACAATAAACAGATCCCCGACTTTTGGGCCAGGCTGAGTTTGACTATTCGTTGTTAATATATACGGACAGGTTGAAGTGGCCTGGACGTCTCCGTCCATAGAAATAAAGTGTTGTTGGCTTTAAATTCAGCAGCTCATTTTGTCGATTTCGCTGACCTTATTTCATAATATAGAAATAAATTCTCCTCGTGTAGATTTCAGTGACTTGACAATTTACGAAACTCTTTATTTATCTATCTACTTCTAATTTAAATATGCAAACAACATTGACGACACGGGAAGACGTTTATTTCATTTTGTTTTTTGTTATCCTAAGTGTAGATATGCAAATAAATAGTATAGAATCTTTCATTTTATATATATATATATATATATATATATATATATATATATATATATATACACACACACGATAAATTTTTAAAAATAATGTCTCGATTTTGAATCGATATTTTAAATGTGATGTTTCTGAAAATGTCAAAACATCATGTATTCCTTTCCCGCTTTACGATCATGTATATTTGGTTATATAGAAAGTGTGTGTATACGATGCTTTTCCCACGGTTAGTCTGTCATCGTTTCAAAGGTATTTAGCTCCAAGGAACGTCCGCACTTGAGGCCTTACGCCATTCTAAGCCTTCATATTGACCAAAACATGGGGGGACAGGTATGTTTGGCGAATGCATTTTAGTTTCACTTGCTAAGTGAAATCACTAAAGACTTCTAAATGGGTGAATTTAATTCACCGTGAATAAGGCATACTATTTCGATTTTTATCCTTACTATTGTTTTATTTATTTTTCCAATCACTGCTTTCTTTCCCTCTTTTTCCTGCCTGTCATCCTTCCTTACTTCCTCCCGGGGTGAAGAGATATTAATCGAGAAAAGCCCGTACAAAATGTGGGACAGTAGTAGCCTGGTCTTAAAAAGGGGGGGGGGATAAGGTAGGCAGGTGGGGGGGTACACCAGAGAAAAGATTTCAAAAGATCCCGTTTCCCTGAACGACCACAACGAAGAAGAGATTAACAGTTCACACACACACACACACACACACACACACAACCACCAACGCCCGATGTTCTCCTCCTCCTCCTCTTATTGTGTAATAAAATTTTTATTTATTTCGATCTTAATAAGAACCGTACACACTTATGACAGCAACTGTAGAGATGTTTTTTATTTATTTGTTTTTTTGGTTTTTTTTTTTTTTTTTAAAGATAGACAATGGAATGATAGTTGCTTTATTACGGTACTAAAGTACTTTTAAATTAAAAAAAAAATATCCTACAATCTTTTAAATTCTGATTGCTTAACAAAGAACCTTCGAAAATTTATATTTAAGCAGGAAATATTATTGATGTTAATAAATAAATAAAAAAAACAAAACATCCAAACATCGAGTAAATCGTGTTTTCCGATGAAAGTGACAATTAGATCGTTATAGCGTTTAAATGACGTAATTTCTTTTTCTTTCCCCTCCGAGTGCAAGACTGACTAGTGACTACCTATAAAACCCACAATAACACCCCCATAAGCTATGCTTTAACAGAACCTGATCAATTTGCTACTGTAGGATTTATTTATGTGAATTAACAGATCCTTCAAACTACCACAGATCTTTTTTTTTTTTTTAAATTAACGGAAAAGTCATCATTATCCATGTTTTTGTGTTAATAACATCAGGACTATTACCTACGCAACTAAACCTTGTTATGTCTCTACTACGGCTTAAAATTAATTTGTCTTGTTTTTAGTTAGTTTTACACTTGCATCAAATGTCGGATTTTTTCAACAGGGCAAGAAAAGTTCGTAATGGGATTGTTAAATGATACATGACTTTCAGTTTAAAAATATATATATATATAAATATTGGCCTTCTACTTCAATAAATCATAATTAAAAAGTATGAAATCTCCTAGGAAAAAATTCCCAATAAACTGTCAAATAACTTGCAAGTTTAGACTGTCTTGTTTGAGATACACTCTCAACCTGCGATCAACCGTCAAGTTTCGAGGTGATGCTGAGAAGCCCTCGATCTGACCAAGAAATCCTTTAAAAAAAAAAAAAAAAAAAAAAAAATGTATGATAATTTAGTCGGATTTTGGGAAGTGGGCAGAGTCAAATAATTTTTCAGCACCCCTCACTGAATTTCAAAACGTTTAAAAAAAAAAACAAAAAAACAAAAAAAAACGCAGCAGTGATAATGTGTATAATAGTGTATATCTTTCGATCGGAGTTCGAATCCAGATATGACAGGAATTCTCTCTCCTTATCTCTAGCTCTCTCTCTCACACACACGTGTGTGTGTGTGTGTGTGTGTGTGTGTGTGTGTGTGTGTGTGTGTGTGTGTGTGTGTGTGTATGTATATGTGTATATATATATAGCAAACTCCGTATAGACCAACCTTCTTGAAATATTGGCGCATCACAGTCTTTCTATTTATTTCGTTTCAAACTTAGCCCTACCGGGCCAAAAAGTCAAATCCTCAATACTTTGATTGACGGATGATGATCTTACACACTTTTTTAGTTTTCTCCTATATCACATGTCCTCTCAGGACGCCACCAATTATGGCTCTCCACGACTTTCTTTTGCTTCTCTTGCCTCGCTACTTCTCTTTGTTCTTAATGTTGTCCATTCATTCTGAATCTAGTAGGTTATTCACTGTTTCCACCTTGCTTTTCTCGTCTCCATTATCTTGTGAGTGTTAAATTTTCCAATCTTTCTTTCCTCATTATGTGCATCATGTATTTCTTCTAATAAATGCTAGCAAATACAAGAGTTCCTGTTTCCCTTAAAACTTCCACGTTACTCACAAATCTTCATCGGCAGAATTCCATTTCTGTCACTTCTAGCCATTTTCTACACCTATCAGGAAATTGTCTAGCATTCACTGCTATATAGAAGGATCTATTTTCTCTAGAAAATACACTTCGTTATGGTCACCTAATTTACACACCCACATATGTGCTTAGGTATGATAGACAAAGGAAAGTGATATTCCTTTTTTGTAAAAAAAAAAAAAAATGGCTTTGTCATTCTCTGCAAGTTTCAAAAGCCACCTTGTGCTATGTCTCCTTACACACCTATTTGTACGAAGTAAATACCCATAAATTTTTCTACGGAGTTGGAAAATATACTTGTTGTCATCACGACACGTTCCTCATTTGTTGGAATGAATCCACAATTGTGCCACATGTAAATACGAAAAATTAGTTGTAGAGTGTAAATCTGGAGATAAGCTGGGATGTAACATTGGGTGTGGGGAATTGGTCGTCACACACACACACACACACACACACACACACGTTTTCGAGTCGACCTGGACCAAGATAAAAAAATTATGATTAATAATTTCAGGGTTTTTTTTTTTTGTGTGTGTGTGTAGGCTGCTAAGAACTTTTCAGCACCTTCACCACGCGTATTCGGGTGCGCAGTGGCATCTAAATGTTAACGGAATTTGCCCAAATTGCATATATATATATATATATATATATATATATATATATATATATATATATATATATAGTGTGTGGTTTCCATGTTTCATGAAATTTTCACATCTAAAACCACTCTTCTACGAAATAAATTAAAAAAAAAAAAAAAAAAAAATTACTCTTTCTGTATTTTCCTCTTTGGCAAATAATTCGCACTTTCTTTGAACTCTTTGCTCTCTGTGTCTCTCTCTGTCTCTCTCTGTATTAATTTTTTGATTTTATCGAATCAAATTTAGCTATTTTGGAGTTAAAAATAAATCTAGCTTTTTTTTCTTTTCTTTATTTTTTTTTTTTTTTCTGTATTCGTATCACTGCCTGTGGATGTCCCTTTGTTGGACGTAGGCCCTTTTCCCAGATTCATTGCGAGGAGTGGGACATTACTCTTCTGCATTGATCCACTATGTGTTGGTAGGGGCGGCTGTGAAACGCTTGGTTGATCATGTCTCTTCGTTTCATGATCGCCCCCAATGGTATTTTACGAATAAATGAATGTAAATAACCTGAGTGGAATTTGAACTCTGCCCTCCGATTTCTCATTCCAAGCCACTACTAACCATTGCAACACCTCCACATCGCAGCTTACAGCACTTAGCCTTCAAAAGCAGTCACTCATCTCGGTATTGTCCAGGCTCGACGTTGCTTATTAAGTTCCTGTAAATCGGCATCTCTTACTTTTTATTAATAATTATTTCATTAAAAGCTAAAATCTGTTTTTAAAGCAGCTAAAAATGCTCTGGGGTTGGGGAGAGCTGGTTTTAGCTTCCCCCTCTCCCCTAAAAAAAAAAAAACTAATTTGCTAACTCTGGTTTAAATTAAATACAGTTTTACTTTTTTAAACCAACTCTAAATTTTACCCCCCCCCCCAAAACACACTTTTTTTTTTTTTTTTTTTTTTTTTTTTTCTTTTTCTTTTTTTCTTTTTTTTTTCTTTTTCTTTTTTCCACCTTAAAACCAAGAGTGTCCCAGATCATCTAGAATGTCTTCTGTTTCCCCACCCCTAAATTATTTGCCTACCCACTCATGTATCTAATGGGCACCTGTCAAAGCCTTTCTTTTGACACTTATCTAAATTTATAAATGTTAGGTGGGAAATGAGTAACTATGCAACGATCAATATTAATGATTTATATCGATATACTTAAATTTAGGAGTTTATTAAATACATTTTGTAAAAAAAAATGTAGAAAACTTGAGCAATAAAATATATATCCTCATTTTCACGCGAGAATTTGTTTTAGGGAATTTTTTCCCCCTTTTCAATCGAATATTTTAAAAAGAAATGTGGCACAAATAAGTTGCCATGGAAAGAAGCCAACATTCACGGAAAAAGTTGGCTAACGAGGAAATATGATTTCCAAGGCTTAAAATCTGAGTCTGTTTTTATTATTATTATTCCTAGATGAATTCTCTAAACCTACAAAAATTATATCAGCTGGATTTTTCGATCCGAAATTTTCTCTCTATAATGTTTCTGTGACTCTCCGCTTTCTCTCAACAAAGGGAAAAATAGAATTTTTTTTTTAACGCAACAACTCGAAATTCGAGCAATTATTTCTATAGAACTTGTCATGAATCATTCACACATGATAACTCTGTGTGTATGTATTTATCTATCTTTGTACAGATAGTTTATACACACACACACACACACACACACACACACACACACACACACACACACACACACACGTGCAACATAGGTCCGAACACACATACATAGAGAAACTTTCAATTCGGATCGATTGCCTCTACTGAAAAACTCAGGTTTCTTTACGTATTTGAGTGCATACACGCATTTTAAGTTATTATTTATTTATTTATTATTTAACATCTAATTATTTTTCTTTCATTTCCAGATGGTCTCAGGGAGTACTTTGGAAAATTTGGGGAGATTAAGGAAGCTATGGTCATGAAAGACCCTGCAACAAAACGTTCACGGTAAGTAATTTTTTTTTTATCTTGATGAAGGGGAAGGTAATGGTCAATGTCTGAGGAACATACCAAATATAGCCTGTTTTTTATTTACTGACTCTGGGTATAATTTTGTTTGAAGCCCCTTTTTTCTTTTTTTTCTTTTTTTTTTATCTTCCAATGTATGTAGTAACGAAAAAAAAAAAGAAGAAAAAAAAATTGGTTAGTACACTGACTAGAATATTGGATTTTTCTCAATTAAAGCCTGCACCCAAAGATACGTTTTGAAAAAAAAATATCGGTTATCTTAACGTAAAATTACTAGGGTAAAGAATATAAAACGCGTAATATAATTTACTTGATTTTTTTTTTTTTTTTTCTCTCTTTTTCTGTTACGAGTGGTCAATTTTCTTTCCTCTTTTTCCTAACTGAAGAGTTCTTGCCCCTTTTTTTTTCCCTCTTTATCGAAAGAAGTTCTGAATTCTGTTGTCATCTGTTTTTCCCATAACAAAATATAGTTCGCTTCAATAAGGAAGCTTGTGTTTAGTCAGGAGCTGGAAATTTCATCTCTCACTTCTAACTATTCAATCACTTTTTCTTTTTCTTTATAAAAAGACAACTGTACCTTACTTGGACGGTGTTAGTGTCTTGTCGTTCTAGGTTGCATTTCAGGCCATGGGCGAAAATTGGTTAACTACACAGATTTATTATTATTTATCCACGACTTACCATGATTTCTTGGAAAAGACAGTGGAGTGGTTTCCCATTGCCTTCTCTGATTTTGAATTCAGTAGTCCTCTTTGTGTATTGGCCGTCACGCCACCTAAGACGATAGAGCCCGATCTGCTCTGATACTTAACCCATAGATGTGGGGGAGATGTTTTTCTCCCAAGGGCATTAATAAAAGTTAATGCAGCAGACTAGAACTGGAATTTGAACTCTGATCGCTGATTTCCTTTACTTTTTTTTTTTTTTTTTTTTTTTTTTTTTTTTTTTTTTTTTAAAGTTAGCTTTTTTTTCTCATTCTTAAAGGCTTTATTTTTTTTATTTCAAGTGCTTTGTTTCTTCGGGTGATAGGTCATGGTTCTTCACAGTCTCCCCATTTACTTTCCACTGTAATTAGTGAAGTGTTTCCTGTTGACGTTTCTATAGTTTAGAATTCAGTTGTCCTTTTCCTAAATTCCTTGTCGTCCCAAGGCTAAAGTCTAGCCTGCTCCTACTATTACCTAGAGTGAAGATGAGAAGAGATGGGTTCATGCCTTTCCCAACGGAGTTTGGACGAAGTGAAGCTCAGCTGGAATTATGGCACTCAAACCCCCTGCCCATGACTTTTTTTTTTTTTTTTTTTTTTTATCTACAAAATAAAATAGGTTGCAATATACCCTATTTTTCTCCTTCTTTCTTCTATGTGTGAAGTCCCTTCAGGATATTGGCGGTCATGGCTCTCCACAACTTTCTGCTCTTTACAGACATTTAAACAGAACCCCCCCCACCCCAATCCCAGATCAATCAGATTTTTCTCCTCCCCCCCCTCTCAGATTTAACGGGTATCTTTCTCTGCTGTTAATGTATATGTTTAATTTACACAATTATTTGAAAATATTTCCACTATATTTCGCGTGCCCTGTCCCTTCGGGACGTAAGTGATTCTACATTCTTTTTCTTTATCTGTGAATTGAATTATCATAGCTTCTTGGGGGGGGAGTAGTTTCCCCTCTTACCTTCTACACGCTTTTGAATTCAGAGTTGTTCGTCTCTTAAACAGGTTGCCATTCAAGGCAATATTTAAACACACAGCTGGAAGAGAAAATAAATTTCCAAGGGCATCGGTGCTAAAGTGAAAACAAAACTCCTCCTCCTCGACGTTTCCACTTTCGCGCCAACAACCATGACGCTAACCGCGCACTCTGTTCACATTAGCATATATCTAATCTTTCTGGATTGACCCTATTCCCACCCGTTTTATAGGTAGACAGATCAATGAGACTGTATTCTACTGGAAAAAAAAAAATTATTTCAATATGATCATCTTTGCCAGGGCTCTTGAATAGATTATTATGCATTGAAAGTTTCAGATCTTAACTGCGTGTCAGGCTAGGGATTTATTGATCCTCCAAACTAGAATTCTACTTTCTAAAAAGTAAGCCATATATTCCTGTTTCAAATGTCAGATATGCATTTTTTTAACAAGTTTCCTGTGTTGATTTACGAAATGTGACTTGTGTTCTTGTCCCGTCTCTAATAACTGGATCGCCATTCGTTATCTTGCTGTTTAGTAATCAGAAATGAGTAGGACTCTGTCATATATATATATATATATATATATATATATATATATATATATATATATATATATATATATATATATAATATTAGATGTGTCTATATGCGCGCACACACATTTTGTGTGTGTGTGCAAAATTGAAAAGCGTAAGGATGCAAAAAAAAAACTATTGAATCCTCCTTATCTGTCGTATTTAATGAAAGATGTTTTAAAGATTGCTGTCCAAATACACACACACACATTGAAGATTACGTTCAAGCCTGAAACCGTGTTGACCTTAGTGTCTACTTTTATATTTACCTAAGCTTTACCCCCTGATATTGAGCATTTTTAACATTTTTATATATATATATATATATATATAAAACAAAAAAAAACTAACGTTTATACTACGCACGCACACTTTCTGTGGTCCGGGATACATGTAAAATTATAAAAGTTGTCTTTGAGTCAATCTCCGGATTAACGGAAATTATCAAACTCTTTGAATCTAGTAATAAGAAAATCAACGAAGGTAGGCATTGTCGCTCTGTATTCGAAATCTTTTGGATAATGGAAGCTATATTTCCGGATTAACGAAGTCGCTTCACTGCGTTACAGGTACACAGAAGTTTACCTGAATCTCGCTTCTTTTCTCTGTACGTGTGCGCACGTGTACTAAACGGTGTTATAGGGTCTCTACGAATCTCTATTGACTCGTAGATATTTATTTTCAACGTAACTCTCTCCTGAATCCTTCATTACACTCAGACTGGCTCCAAACCTTTAGTTTTTATCTTTTGATACACACACACACGCGTGCATTCTCTCCGATGGCGTGTTATAGATCGTAACAATATTATCTAAAGTGGGATAGCAAAGGCACAAATATTGCTTAGAGCTGCAAAGGATAGGACGCCGTGGAGAGCATGACCCCGCATCGTACTTAAGATATTCAGAAGATTTAGAACAAATAAAATGTCTTATGGGGCTCTTGCATTACTAAAGAGTACGTTTCTGAGGGTTTATTTATATATATATATATATATATATATATATATATATATATATATATAAAAAATTATAACATAAGTATGTTAAAATCACTACAAAAATAGCCGTTTTGTTTCAACACCCTCGGTGTCTTATCAAGTGATGATGTTGAAGATAAAATAAATGGTTTTAAAAGTTTCAAATTAATTAACGATCCTACACTAGGGGGAAACGTTGTTACAAAAGCTAGATTAACCAATCAAAAACCAAGTATAGAAAGATTCAAAAGCTTGACAACGAAATCATGTTATAATAGCTATTCAGATCTTTAAAATACGGGTAATATTAAAAATAATTTATACTAACCAATAATTATAAAATTATGATAAAATTAAAAACTGCCAATTTTAAAATCCAAATTTAATCACTATTAAGTTTAAAAACTATAAAATTATTGAGAAAAGAAAAAATACATATGTTATTCAATTTATTTCTTCGTTGAAATTACGTTCGACAAGACGCTACAATATATCCGCTATATATATATATATATATATATATATATATATAAATTTTATTCTAAGCAAGACAATACAAGGGGTCACTGGTAGTGAAAGAGAACGAGATTTTAGAATGAACTGGAAACACACTCCTAAACTGGAGCTAAGGGATATACCTCTGTTTTTATTCGATAGACCGGGAAGGAGTGTGAACATGGCGATAAGCGAACCAGCCTATTCCTCAGACGAGCTTAGTAAAGTATCTAATGTATGCTTTTTTTTTCTGGTAAAAACTCTATTTAATCACACGGCAATACTCTCTCAGACCGATACTGAAAACGTCCAATCATCAATTTCCAGTCTTGATGTCACGGCTTGGACCCGTCATGTCACATACAGACTAATCCCGATTCAGTTCGTATTCCATTGATAAGGAAGAAATTCTACTGAGATAGCTTCTTCCACAGAACCGCAACCTTATGGAGCAGACTCCCAAGTGGATGCTTCTCCAAATACTACGAACTTAACCTCTTCAAATCTAGGTTCAACTCTTATCTAACCTCCATATCCTCGTAAAATGCATTTACTTCCCTTACGCGCTTACAACAACCTCATTCAATAACTCAAATATGAGTGGCTTTGTAATGAGCGAACAATTGTGATTGATAATTTTTTTTTCCACTTGGCGTATTATATTTTAAATACTTTTTATTCGTTATTGCCTAATACAATTATAAATTAATGTCATCCTGATGTACGACGACTTCAAATTATCTTGATTGTTATTTTTCTTATGATGAATCGAACAAGTTCCATGTTGGGTCATGATGGTATCCCGATGACAAGAGGAGTTATTTTGCTCTATTTTCGCTCTTAACGGGAAACCAGTCGTAATGCTTACATCGTAGCCAGGAATCGTCCCTTCACTCCAACTGCAGTTAACCTTAACTTGCAGACTACTGTGTAGCGGCTTCAATAAAACCTTTGTTCTTGAAATACAAGAACGGTGAGGGTTTGCATTATTACTTTGACGGGAGATTATATACACATACATAATCTTCTAAAGAATTAATGGATATATATTATAAAACCCTACCAAAGGGTACATTGTTTTTTCCCAGTCAAATATGTCTATCCACTAAAAATTATATATACTGAATCGTGAGGTTTCATTAGGTTTTACGCAAAAAGTAGGGGCCGTACTATGCCCAAATAATCAGGGGTCATACTCTGAGGTCGGCTTTACATATATAAGTGTGGAATTATGGCTAGCGGCTCGGATTGAGAAATCAGAGAGCCGAGTTCGAATTCCAGTCTAATCCATGACATTCACTTACGTGTTAATAATACCCTTGGGGAAAGGTATGAATCCTCTTCGTCCACCAGCTATGGGTAAATAGCAGGGCATAGCTTTGATCTATAGCCTTGGATGGCGACTGGTCTACAGCAGAAAGAAATGGCAAACTACTGCGAGAAAAAATCTGCCTCGTCAGTCATGTATCGAAAGATACATGAACGCGTAAGCGTGTATCACACATGGCACATAACTGACATATATAGTGTGTGCGTGTCAGACACACTTCTCACCTACTTTAAAATCACTAAATGATTTTTTTTTTTTTTTTTTTTAGTCCCCAACTTTCATTAAAACTCCTCCTCCTCCTCCTGTTCCTCCCCATTCCGTTTATTGAATATTGGGGGGAAATTCACATCCCTTATTTAATATTAGGCACATTACATTAACTGGATATTTAGTGGGCGGGTGTTTCGTTGACGATACAAGTTGATGTATCTGCAGTTTGACAATGCCAACCTCCCCCCCCCCCTTTTTTTTTTTCTTTTTCATTTTTTCTTTTCTTTTTTTTTCTTTTTTTTTCTTTTTTTTTCTTTTTCATTTTTTCTTTTTTTTCTTTTTTTCTTTTTTTTTCTTTTTTTTTTTTTTTTTTTTTTTTTTTTCTTTTTTTTTTTTTTTTTTTTTTTTTTTTTTTTTTCTTTTTTTTTCTTTTTTTTTTCTTTTTTTTTTTTTTTTTTTTTTTTTTTTTTTTTTTTTTTTTTTTTTTTTTTTCTTTTTTTTTTTTTTTTTATTACGAGCAATCGTCGAAAAGGCTGAGCAGACAAGACAATAGAATCGTTGTTTGTAGTGCTTCTATGAATCTGTTTCCCTTTTAAATTCTGATCGAAGTTTGGTTCGTTTTCGATTCGACTGACATTCAAACGTTACTCTATCTCTCACACACGCACATATCTAATATATCCAAGATATATATATATATATATAATATATATATATATATATATATATATATTATATATCTCAATTGGAGAGATGTGGTTGTTATCAATGAAGCCATCTTATTCATATGAGCCTTTGATAGAGCAACAACTGAAGTTCTCACGCTCTGACAGTCACCTTATCCCTCTTCGTCCCATTCCAAAATCCGTCCATTCCAAATCGAAATATGAAAGAGTAGCAACGACAAAAGGTGAGTTTGAGGAAGTTAGGGTGCTTTTCTTAGTTTGGCACAAGCCTCATTCCTGAGGAGCAATCATGGATCGAACGCGTGACTTGCTATCCATTGCGCTACACACAGTAACTACCAGCCGTGGCTTTGTTTGGCACGAGATCACCGTAATGGGGTGGCTAATGAGCTTGGATGCAACTAGCAACGTTAGATTGTCAACCATTTCTCTTGGTTTAGTCCAACGCAAAACCGAAATAGTGGTGGCACACGATAAGGTTCGAACTTGTGTTAACTGTAAAAAAGAAGACTTCTGTAGATTGATAGGTAGATGTAATATACATATTGATCCTCTCTCTCATAGGGAGATGGAGAGATATAGATATGGAGAAAGATAGATAGATTGATAGGTAGATGTAATATACATATTGATCCACTCTCTCATAGGGAGATGGAGAGATATATATATGGAGAAAGATAGATAGATTGATAGGTAGATGTAATATACATATTGATCCTCTCTCTCATAGGGAGATGGAGAGATATAGATATGGAGAAAGATATATATATATATATATATATGAATATCTAAATAGAGGTAGAGATGGGTGGATAAATAGAGATAATCTGCAATTATCCACCTCTGTTATATACTTGTATCTCAAAATTTTCTTACCCGTTGCTGCTACCTCCTTTCTCTCTTCGTTCCTTCGTTTTGCTTTGTCTTCTTAGAGGGAGAAAGAGAGGCACACGCGCATTTGCGCTAGAAATATTTGTAGTTTCTCGTGTTTCTCTCTCTCTCTCTCTCTTTTTCTTTTTCTTTTTCTTTTTCTTTTTCTTTTTCTTTTTTGTAGTAGTCAGTTTCGGGCTTTCTTTGTTTGCGCGCGCACGCAGCCTCCAACAAATAACACCTCTGTTTTTTGTTCATGAGGATGATCGGGCAATGGTTATTTAAAAATACATGCATAAAAATGAAAGGGAAAAAAGTTCTCTAAATCGCGCACGCGCACACCTTCGGGGAACTTAATGGATAAAGGGAAGAAAAAATTATGTAAATTAGGTTGTTTGGATCATGAAGTGAATTCGGGAGATGTGTGAAATGTCCAGTGAGGAGACGGAAACTGGAAAGTTGAGAGGAAAAGTCTGAGATATCTGTATGTATGTTACGTACGCACACACACACACAGCCTGTTGAAGTAGTTGTCTTATTTCCTACAGGCGCCAGGAGTGGGTTCAAGCCGGGATTGTGAATCAAGGACGTTGAAGCAACACAGTCTTCCCTTTGATCATTCTCTTTTCTTTTCTCTTTTCTATCTATTTTGCGTCCACCGTTTTTCTCTTGCCTATGTGGTAATTCCATCTCCGTACATTTTCGACACGTTTTAGACATCGTCTCTCATTGTTTTTCTTTTCTTCTTTGTTTCTCAACACATTTCTTTTTCCTTCTTTTCCTTCTCTTTATTTTTTTTCTTCTCTGTTTCCTTCTCATCCTCTTTGGTCTTTTGGTCCCCCGCCTCCTCTTTGGTCTTTCTTTTTTTTTTTTTTTTTTTTTTTTCCTCTTTGCCCCCCCCCCTCTTTGGTCTCTCTCCCCCCCTCCATTTCTCTTTGATTTTTGTTATCTCTCTATTCTGTTTTTCCAAGAATTGAAACTTGCCTCACCATCCTCGTCTTTCTCAACATGCCTAAGTCTTGTTCTTCCGTTTCCATTTTTACGTTTCTTCAATCTTTTGTTTGCAGCTGACAAACTGTCTATTTCGACGGCATCATTTTATTTTACGTTAAATGCCAACTCTATCTCTCGTTCTTGGTTACCCACAACGCCAAATCTATTTTCGTCCCTCATTTTAATGGGACACCATCCATCTCGCATATTTATTGGCTAGTGAGTTCATTCCTTACTGGCCTCCCCATTATCATCATCTTGTGCCAGACTACGCTATTTATCTTTATCCCGGGTGTTTTGTTTTTGTTTTCCGTCTTGTCTTTGTATTAAATCTGTTGAATAGGTCATGAAGATAAACTTGTAGACATAGTGAAGATTATGTTGCGCCATTCTTTCAATCAGCATTCTAAATCGCTCCGCTAGTACCAATGAGGAATGTGCACCTCTCGCAACCCGTGACAGGCAAGAGATGAGCTGAATTCGCCATAGTCTGACACAAGATCGTAGCCGTACAACATCCTTCATCACGTGTGTGTGTGCGCGCGCGCGTGTGAGTTAGATAAACAGATAGATATTGTTTTTTCTTTCTTTTTTTTTTTTTTTCTAACATTCATTTTTCGGTCTAGCTGGGTAGATCGAAAAATAAAACAAGTAAATTTTCGACAGTAAGATTGTATTGCGCCAGTCTTCTAACGTACAGACATGGTAGTCGGACAGTGGATATCAGAAATGGCGCTATAAAACAAAAGACTTCGCTACGTGGAAGACCAAGACAGGAATAATTTATTAAAAGTATAATTACATATGAAAATTTTATTTACTGTTTATTTGTTATAATTGCTGTTCAAAATGTCTTCCTTCCTTTTCACAAAAACATTTCAATTCTTTGCTTGCCTGATTTATTAACACATCGGAGAGATTCCGGTCTCATTTTATTAAATTCATATTTAAGTCTTTCTTTAAGTTTTTCAATATTTAATGTCTGATAAACAAATGAATTCATAAGGCCGCATAGCAAAAAAATCCAAGAGTGTGAGGTCTGGTAAACAGGACTTCTTTGACCTATCCATTAACTAACACCCTGTGAGTGTGTGTGTTTCTGTTCGTTCATATTCATTTTCTTGAATAAACCGTATAGACTTTTTCGTGTATATGACTTCCATAGACATTTTAGAAGATAATGCCGAAAAAAGGAATATGAAATCTTAATTTGAAAATTAATGGTAATAATGATTTTAAACAAATTATAGCATTGTCTTAGATTAAGGCTAAATATAGTCTTTCTATTTAGTGGCTAACTACAACACCCTAAGAGCTTTGGGAAAAGATTGAACACTGTCAGAGCGAACAGGTATGCAAGGCCAGCTAGTTAACGACCCTGCTGACCTTTTCAATACTTTCTTTGGCGTAACGGTTAAACGACACCGAAAAACAGTATTGGCCAGCTGAGTCTTTTGTATGAATGCTTTTGCGAAAGCTGAAAGGCATAGATCCACGTTTCCCTGCATTCTTTTATCTCTATGCTGACAAATCCCCGTCATTGTTATATTAGGATGATTAACGAAGAGTGGGTTATATAACCTTACTTGCCCAGAGAGTAGCGATAAACTTGTTACCTACGTAGGAGTTCAGGGTTCTCGTTTTTTTTATTTGTTAATTAAAATGACTTCGTGGCAAACATAGTGGAGTGCTTTCCCTTTTAATCCCAGAGCCTGGCAGTGTATACTTGGACTCTGTGGAGCAATATAGTACTAAAAAAAAAAACAAGAACTAGACGAGATATCCCTAGACAATGGCGGTGATACAAGAAGAGTCTAGCCCCATAGATTAAAAGGTTCAGTTCCGAATTCCCTGTAGGTTACCCGGATCGACACACACCTGATGAAGGCCGGAGGGCACAAGGGTTGAAACATTGTGATAACAAAGTTGAGGACAATAGTTCACGTAAATTATGTTGTAGACCTTTCCCTAATGAGTCGTGAAATTACACCCTCTCTTTTTTCTCTTCTCCAACCCGACCGTTTCTCTTTGATGAATGGCAGCATCTCTATTCTTGTGCTTTGGGGGCTGTTATACAAGAAAACTTGGCTTGTTTACTTCTCGGACTGACCGCGTGTAACCAAAAACGCAGATAAGGGGAACAGCGAGAGGACTGACAGCATTTTCAAAGGTCTAGAATTGGGCATATTGACTCATTTAAATTATCTCTCTCTCTCTCTCTCTCTCATATATATATATATATATATATATATATATAACACCGGTTCTCTTACAATAAACGAAGTTAAGCAACGTCGATCTTGGTCAGTACCTAGATGGGTGACCGCTTGGGAGTACCAAGTGCTGTTCAGTTGGTGTAATAGATAACAGCTCGGAATTGTTCATCGGAGAGTTTCAATTTCAGTTGACTTCGTTGTATTCACTTATGTGCAAATACCCTTGGGAAAGGCATGACTTTACCTCTTCTCCGCCCCCCCCCAGTTATGAGTTAATTAGTAAGACTTGTGTCACTAAACCATTATCTCCAAAAAGAAGATTGTTACAATAAAAAAAATAATTCTATTTCCATTACATCATCAGAAGTGCCCAGTATATAGGTCGACAATTTGTGTGTGTGTATATATATATATATATATATATATATATATATATATATATATATGTGTGTTGTGCTCCTTCTGTGGTTAGTTTTAAATAATGACTCTTTCTAAATTAGATAAAAAAAAAAAATATTAACAACTGCGAATGTCCATGAAACTTGATGTTCTTGAGTTTAAATTTCTGCTAATGGCAGTTGTAAATGTAATGTCCCAGAGACCACATTAAAATACCTTTTTACGAATAACTTAATGTCTTGCAAATATAACGTAATTTAGATTAAAATTATCCGTCTATGATGACGTTCAAAACTTTATATACATCTGACCCAAATGACAATGTCTCTACGTCGGGCATAGGTTTACAAACACATAAAAAAAAAAATCATGCATTAAAATACTTGTTTGCCAGATGAACGAAAAAAAAAAAGATAAAAATAAAATTCTATTTCCATTACATTATCAAAAGTGTTGAGTACAGATGTGAACAATTCATATGACTTTTCTAAAAGTAGCTTTGATGTGGCACAAGGCCGAAAGTATGGGGCACTCGGTGAGGATCGAACTCACTACTCGGTCGTAATTGTTCTGGCGCGACAAGCTTGCGCCGAGGTGCTCAACAATTCGTTTGTATGCGAGATTTTTTTTTTCGCTAGGTAAACAAAATAAAATTGTTTAAAACTACCCATCAAAAATGACTGTGTGTGTATATATATATATATATATATATATATATATATATATAAAATATATATTTATATATATAGCTACTATAATGATCCTATGTATGTGTGTGTGTATATATATAATCACGCATATATATATATATATATATATATATATATCATATACACAGGATCATTATAGTAGCTGTGCTCAACATAGTATGTCTAATTTTTACTGTGTTGTTCAAGCAGCAGAACTCGTGTGTATATATATATATATATATATATATATATATATATATATATATATATATATATATATATATATATATATTATTGACCTTCATACCGCCAGATCGGACGTTCTAATCTGAGCACGAGTCATATGTTATAAATCGCTTAAATTTCAGCGTAACACTAACAGTCGGTTCGGTGTTGCGTTAAATCAGAAACAGATACTTCGGCTCTGAAATTGGATTAAGAAAGCGAGGCAAAATATTAAGAAACGGGGTGGGGGGGGAGAAAAGATTACTTATATAATTTCGGTATTCGTATAAAACAGTGAATGCTGGACAGTCTCGTCAGAAATAAACAGACTTGAAGCAACAGAAATGTAGTTCTACAGAAGGATGCTGAGAATACCATGGATGGAACATGTGAGCAAATATTGAAGCTTTAGAGAAAATGGAAAGAAAAAGGACGCTTTAATCAGTTGGAATTTCTTGGGCATGTGGTGTGTAAAGAGGGTTTTGAAAATTTGACACTCACAGGACCTGTTGAAGGCCGGAGAGACTGAGAGAAACAACGGAAAACGTATCTAACGAGCTTGTGTAAGTAGATGATAGAACAAAATTTAGGAGAGATAATAGACAAAATTTACTAAAAGCTACAAAAAAAAAACTGTAAATCGAGGAGAGCCATGTTCGCCAACATCCTGAGATGTCATTAAAAGAAACATGAGATATCTAACCTTTTGTTATGAGGTTTTTTTCTTTGTTTACATGTGAGGACATATTTGCTTAAGTCCCATGTTGGTTGTGTGTTTGTAATTGTCTTGTTTTTAAACTCTTTCACCTCCCATCTTAGTAAAAAAAAAAGGGGGGGTGCCAGTACATTGGAGATAATTTTAATACAGTAAAAACCTGAAAATATTACAGCCAAAACTTAAAAAAAACAGTTGAAATTCCTTGGATACATAATGAGGAAAGAGGGTTTGGAAACCTTAACCCTTATGTGGCATATTGAGGCCAAGAGATGGAGAAAAGCAGCAAGCAACTAAACTGATGAGCTTGTGTCTAAAAGGAACATTTTTACATTAGAAAAATTATTCGTAAAATTTTCTTTGACCGTCGCATTCAATAGAATATATAAATATATATGCTGGAGGAACATTTTACGAATATTTTAATTTTTTTTTTCTAATGTGGTAAAATTTTTCCTTTTGCAAAAAAGGTAACTAAGAACATTTAGAAAAACTAAAAAAAAAAAACTTCCTTGATCTTCACAATTAAATGGAGGATGTACAAAAGTAAGATTGCGCTCTCATATATATATATATATATAAGAGGGGGAAGTGGGTCGAGCCGAAAACCTTTCACTTTCCCGCTAATGTGTATTAAATAAATTAAAAGCCCAAGTTTCAATTGCCTGAGTTTCAAATGAACTAAAAGGAGAATTTTTTCCGATCCATGATAAATTGTACAAAATCCGTCGATTTGTTTTCTAAATAATGTCGAATTGGCTTGCAATAATCGAAAACTTTGAAGTGTGTGTGTATAATATATATATATAATATATATATATATATATAATATTCCAAAAACAATCTGTTTTGTGACTAGTTCGATCCTCATTGGAAGAGCTATACCTTGTGAAGCTTTTGTCCCACCCTCGATGGTTTTAAATAAGAATGTGTGCAGGCACTGTCATGTGCAAAAATGGCGGTTTTATAAAACATC